ACGTTTTGAGTGGGGGGCGAGGACTCGAGCGACGACGGCGCCACCGACCTCGCCGAGGCCGCGCGCGCCATCCCACGCCCCCTCTTCGGGGACCCGTCGAGGGCCGTGGGGCGCCAGAACGCCCGTCGCGGCGGCGGGACCACCCGTCGCGGGAGCGGGACCACGCGTCCCCGCAGCGCCTTGCGCGGCGCCGCCAGCAGCACTGTGGCCAGCAGGACCGTCAGTATGGTCCCCGACGAGCAGAACCAGGACCTGGCCAACGCGTACGGCCTGGACTTGGAGGCGGCGGAAGGGCTGCAGTCGCCGTCGCCGGCTGACGCTGGCGACGGGACGGCGGCGGAAGAGACCGCAGCCACGATCGCCGTCGTGAACCCGCTCTTCGGAGAGGCTGCCCCCGAGGCCAACCTGGGAGGGACGGCGCGGGGGAACGTCCTGGCCCTGGCTCGGGCCTTCGACGTGGAGGCGCAGGCTCAGGCCGTCAGCGCCGGGCTTGCCGTGGACAACAACAAGATTGGCCCCCCCGGAAGAGCAGGCAAGAGACTGACCAGAAAAGGCACCGGCGACGGAGGCCTTGGGGGGACAATAGGCGGTGGCGATGGGGACGGCCTCGGGTCGTCAAGAAAGGTCGGGTTCTCGGAGTCTCCTGCTCCCGAGGACAGCAAGCAAGCGGACACGGAGGCCCCGGGAGACGGCACCGGCGATGAGGACGTCTGATTGGCTGAACCGGGCAGCCCCTTCGTATGAGACGCCTTGCGCAGGGTGATGCTTTCTTGGTGGCATGGCGGAAGCCGGCGAGCGGTGTAGGAGGAAGGGTGGTGGATGGACTAATTGGTCGTGAGCGTGTGAGTAGAATGCCTAGGAGTGGTGGCAATCATTTGTAATATCGGAGGAAGAGGGCAACGTAGGCCGGCTTATTGAAACCAGAACGCTGACCAGAAATATGGAAGTCGATTGTTGTATGCTGATATCAAGGTGTCACGTTCGTTCTTGTCCAAGTGGTTGCTAACGTGGTTTGTTTTTGACTGAGGAGCCGGAGATAACCTCTGGAGTCATGCAAGTTGTAGCAGAGTAGGTCGTTACCAGTGCTTCTTTGTACTTTGGGGGGTTGGTGATGCGTTTCGTGAGTGTATAGTTGACGGCGGAAGATTCATGGCACATACCAAATTTAGTACCGGAAGCATGTTTTATGCTATTCGGAACCAAGTAGCACGTACCGCGGTAGCTACGGATGTTTTTCTGTTTTCCTTTTCTACTCTACATCTATCCGCCGCCAGGATCTCCAACCATGCGAGGGGATCAGAAGGTAGCTCGGTAATGTTGACGTCTGACGAATTCCAGACGATGCCGAGAGAGCCAGCCTCAATGCTCTATGATGCGAACGGGCTTGCAAGCTTGATAGTTTGTTCAAGTCGTAAAGCTTCGTAGAAGATTTTGAGTGCCTGAAGGCAACCAAACATTTCCGAACGCAATGTGCACCATCTATCTCCGTCAAGGAGTACCTTGTTCTAGGGTGAGCTCCATGTGGTTCATGGCGTTGCTTGTGTTAGTATGTATCTGATACGGTGATGGGTAACATGTACACCGGGGGGGGGGGGG